AAATTATAAATACTTTTTAAAATTCCAAGCAAATTTGTCTGGAATACGGTTTAAGGGATAATAGAAATGATCCTCTTGTAGAAAAAATACAAAAAATACTAGATGTTAGTAAAGAAATTAAAGAAATAAAGTAAAAAAGTATTTAAATATGATTTCTGTTTATTTTTTTTTTTTAAAAAAAAATAGTTGATTTAAAAAAAATTATTAAACATTCAAAAAATAAAAATCAATTTATTAAAAAAATATTAAACAATGATCTGAAATTTTTCATAAAATATTATACAAATATAAAAGAGTCTGCTAATTTTATTTTTAATAAAAAAATAATTTAAAGCATAAACAAAATCGTTATCATCATTATCTAATAATGTTTCTAAAAATGAAAAATCATCTGAAAAAGAACAACCACCAGTTAAAAAAAAACAAAAAAAAACAAATATTTATAGTGAATTTGTTAGTCATAAAAGTAAAAAACTTAGTGATATTGATAATAAAGATAGATTTAAGATTATTAGTAAATTGTAAAGGAATAGTCCTGAAAACCCTAAAAATATATAAATAACCTCTTGTTATCTATTTTAATTTATTTTTTTAAAATGTGTAATGATCTTGAATTTTGTGAATGATATAATAGATCCTATTTAGATTAAATTTATTCATTTTGATATTAACTATAATTTTTTTACTTCTTGTAATTTATACTATTATTTTACTTTATATTAGATTTAACTTGAATTTAGATTTTATAAATATTTTAAATATTTTTTATATATATTTACAAACATCTATTTCTAGTTCATTACAATCCATTTTTACAAACTAGCCCCAATTAAGAAATACACAGTAAAAGTAATATCTAAAAAGAAAAATACAACAAAAACAATAAAAAAAGCACATCTATGAAGAAAAAATTTGTTTAAAGTGTGGTTGTACTAATGCTTGCTGTCAAAAAAAAAAAAAGTCAACCAACAAAAAGCCAAATATCAAAAAGTTTAACAGCAAAAAGAGCAAAAGAATCATGTAGTATTGGTTTTTGTAGGGATGAAGAAAAATTAACAGCATGTTGGTTTAAGAGACCAATTGAAATACAAATAAAGAAATTGATTTTTGGATCTGTTACAGTTAATAACAGAACATTTATTTTTGATACACTTTGGCAAAGATTATTCTATTTTTAATTATTTTAATTAGACACAACACCTTTTAACAAGTTAGAATTGCATGATATTTCTGTCTATTAAAAATTGATAACATATTATAATTAACTTTGAGCAAACATGATAAACATACCAACAATACAAAGAAATACTGTTATAACATCATTATTGAATAAATTGAAAATTGAATTTCATATTGTTGAAATTTGTAATTTAGAATTAGCAAAAAAAGAAAAAGTTGAAATTAATAATATTTTATATGATAAAAATCCACAAAAACTATGATTTAAGGCTCTATTTATCTCACGATTGAAAAATATATTAACAATTAATTGTTCGGATTGTGAATTTACTCAAGATGAAATAATTATGTGTTTAAATCTTGATAGATTACGTATTTGTGTTGTTTCTGCTGAAGAAAATCAGATGAGAGTTTTCGATAAAGCTAACTATACTATTGTAATAATTATTGATTATATGAACTGGATATATCAATATAAATATATAGATTTGAATGATGATAATAATATGATTAAAAAATTAGGACAAACTTTTAATTCTGAAAATAGAAATTCAGATATTCTATCTTTTTTTTAACAATGGTTATATTGAGGTAGCTTGGAGACCTAATATGAGAGATGGACCAATATACAATGCTTTATTACAATCTGTTACAAAATATTGTAAAGAAAAAAACCAGAGTGATTATTTTATCGATATAAAATTTTCTTTATTTTCTATTCATATTATTACAAAATATTTATATATAAATATAAATAATATCGCATATTTAATAAATAAAAAATGATTGTTTCAAAAAATCTTAAATGAGTTGGAATGTGTGTTGTTGGTCATTGTGATAATATAGATAAGCTAAATATTTGTCAACAACAGAAAGAAGATAGTATAAATATAAACAGAGAAGAATTTGGTGTTGAAAAAATAAAAATTGGAGTTGATAATATATTAACAACTGTGTATGATAGTGTAATAGAGAAATGATTTGGTATTTTTAGATTATTTCAAAATTTAAATACCAAAAAAAAAAAAAAAAATCAAATTACATGATATTGCTATCAATTTAAAAATCATGTCTTATTATAATAAAAATAGAAATAGTCAAATTTGAATATCTTCGGGAAAAGATGCTAAAAAGTTAGTTAAAACAAATTTAACTCCTGTGTTAGATACCATTATTTTAAAATTTTTCATTGTCAAGATTTGCAATTGTGATATTGCTAAACAGAATTCACCATCATTAGATGATATTATTATTGATAGGAATATTCAAGACTTACAATTCTGAGAATATATTAACTCTGTTTTGGTTAAAGAATATGAAATTGGTTGTGAAAGTTGTGAATTTCAAGAGCATGATATAATCATGTATTTAAAAATTTTAATAAATTAAATTGAACTTTACGTGTAAACCTATAAAATATCTAATTGTAT